AGTAGGGTCAGCGCAGGCCAACCCAGGAACGGCTTTGGGAGTGACTGACTCAGGAGGGGCAGCAGCTGCTTCCAGAGCTCTTGGCCCACAGACAGTATGGGGCTCAGAAGGAGACGACAGCGGTCTCTGCTAGCGCTGAGGCAGCACACTGTTGCTTTGCCCATGTTGGATCTGGGTCGCAATCCTGGGGGGGCAGTCCCCGGGCGAGGAGGAGCACTAGCACCAGAGCTTGCTGCTACAGTGCAGCAGGGACCCTTGTTATGGTTCCAGGGCAGAAAAGAGCCCTTGTGGTTACTCACAGACCAGAGCACAGGCTAGGAGAGAAGGAAACGCCTCTCCTTAGATCATAGCACCTTGAGAGAACCGAAAACTTACAACTCCCTGGGAGCATCTCTGAAAACAGCTGCACAGACCCCCGAAGCTTGGGACAGTGTGCCCTCCACCCTGGTAGCAGAGCCCCACTTGAACAAAGAGTTACAAAGTCAAGAAATAGGCTGGGAAAATGAGCAAACAACAGAAAAAAATTCCGACCATAGAAAGTTACTATGGTGACAAGGAAGATCAAAACACACTCTGAAGAGGACAACAGAGTCAAAGCTCCTACACCCAAAGCCTCCAGGAAGAAGATGAATCAGTCCCGGGCCTTGGAAGAGCTCACAAAGGATTTTGAGAAGCAAGTAAGAGAAGCAGAGGAAAAACTGGGAAGAGAAATGAGAGTGATGCAAGAAAATCATGAACAGTGGATCAACAGTTTGGTAAAGGCACAAAAAAAAAAAAAATACTGAAGAAAATAACACCTTAAAAAGCAGAATTGGCCAAATGGAAAAGGAAGGTGGCACAGTAGGTAGAGCATCAGCCCTGGAGTCAGGAGGATCTGAGTTCAAATGCGATCTCATTGCCTAGCCAAAAAAAAAAAAAATTAGAATGCAGCAAATGGAAGCTAATGACTTTATGAGAAATCAAAACAATGTGAAATATCTCATTGAAAAAACAGCTGGGGGCAGCTAGGTGGCACAGTAGATAGAGCACCAGCCCTGGATTCAGGAGGAAATGAGTTGAAATCTGGCCTCAGACACATAACACCTACTAGCTGTGTGACCCTGGGCAAGTCACTTAACCCCATTGCCTAACCAAAAAAAAAGAAAGAAAAGAAAAAAAAAGAAAAAACAACTGACCTGGAAAATAAATCCAGGAGAGATAATTTTAAAAATTATTGGATTACCTGAAGGCCATGATCAAAAAAAGAGTCTAGACATTATCTTTCAAGGAATCATCAAGAAAAACTGCCCTGGGGCAGCTAGATGGTGCAGTAGGTAGAGCACTGGCCCTGGGGTCAGGAGGACCTGAGTTCAAATTCGGCCTCAGACACACAATACTCACTAGCTGTGTGACTCTGGGCAAGTCACTTAATCCCAGTTGCCACACACACAGACACACACACAAAACCAAAACCCTGTCCTGATAGCCTAGAATCAGAGAGTAAAATAGAAATTGAAAGAATCCACCGATCACCTCCTAAAGGAGATTTTTAAATGAAAACTCCCAGGAATATTATAGCCAAATTCCAGAGCTCCTAGCTCAAGAAGAGAATATTGCAAGCAGCTAGAAAGAAACAATTTAAATATCATGAAACTAGAGTCAGGATAACACAAAATTTAGCAGTTTCTACATCAACGTATCAGAGGGCTTGGAACAGAAATATTCCAGAGGGCAAAGGAGCTAGGATTACAAGCAAGAATCACCTTCCCAGCAAAACTCAGTATAATCCCTTCAGGGGCAAAAATGGACATTCAATGAAATGAAAGACTTTCAAGCATTCTTTTTTTTTTTTTTTCTTTTTAGGCAATTGGGGTTAAGTGACTTGCCCAGGGTCACATAGCTAGTAAGTGTCAAGTGCTTGGTCTGAGGCCGGATTTGAACTCAGGTCCTCCTGACTTCAGGACCGGTGCTCTAAACACTGCGCCACCTAGCTGCCCCTTCAAGCATTCTTGATGAAAAGACCAGAGCTAAATAGCAAATGTGACTTTCAAATACAAGACTCAAGAGAAACATAAAAAGGTAAACAGGAAAGGGAAATCATAAGGGACTTAATCAGGTTAAATTGTTTACAGTCTTACATAGGAAGATGATACTTGTAACTCATAAAAACTTTCTTATTATTAGGGCAGTTAGAAGGAGTAATATATAGACAGAGGGCATGGGTGTGAGTTGAATATGAAGAGACAATATCTAAAAAAATAAAATTAAGGGATGAGAGATATTTACTGGGAGAAAGGGAAAGGGAGGTAGAATGGAGTAAATTATCTCACATAAAAGAGACAAGAAAAAGCTTTTACAGTGGAGAGGAAGATGGGGGAGGTGAGGGGGAGTGAGCAAACCTTACTGTCATCAGAATTGGCTCAAAGAGGGAATAACATACACACTCAATTGGGTATAGAAATCTATCTTACCCTATAGGAAAACAGGAGGGGAAGGGGATAAGAGAAGGGGGGGAGGGTGATAGGAGGGAGGACAGATTGGGAGAGGGAGTAGCCAGAAGCAAAACATTTTTAAGGAGGGACAGGGTGAAAAGAGAGAGGGAATAGAATAAATGGGGAGGGGGGAAGGGGAATAGGATGGAGAGAATAGAATAAATGGGGAGGGGGGAAGGGGAATAGGATGGAGGGAAATGCAATTAGCGATCATAAGTGAAAAACATTTTGAAGCAAATTTCTCTGATAAAGACTTCATTTCTCAAATATAGAGAACCGAGTCAATTTTATAAAAATAAGAGCCATTCCCCAATTGATAAATGATCAAAAGATATGAACAGTTTTCAGATGAAGTACTCAAAGCTATCTGCAGTCGTATGAAAAAATGCTGTAACTATTGATTGGAGAAATGCAAATTAAAACAATTCTGAGGTGCTATCTCATACCTGTTAGATTGGCTAATGGGGCAGAAAAGGAAAGTGACAGATGTTGGAGGGGATGTAGGAAAAATGAGATATTAATGCATTGTCTGTGGAGTTGTAAACTGATTCAACCATTCTGTAGAGCAATTTGGAACTATGCCGAAAGGGTTATAAAACCATGCATACCCTTTGACCTAGCAACACTGCTACTAGATCTATATCCAAAAAGAAATAAAAAACAAAAAGGAAAAGGACTGATACGTACAAAAATATCTCTAGCAGCTCTTTCTGTGGTGGCAAAGGATTGAAAATTGAGGAGATGCTTATCAACTGGGGAATGGCTTAACAAATTGTGGTATGCAATTACGATGGAATACTATTATGCTAAAAGAAATGATAAGCAGGATGCTCTCAGAAAAACCTGGAAAGAATTACGTGAGCTGATGCAAAGTGAAATGTACTGTGTACAAAGGAACAGCAATATTGTAAGATGATCAGCTGTGAATGACTTAGCTATTCTCAGCAATATAACAATCCAAGACAACTCTGAAGGACTTAGGATGAAAAATGTTATCCATCCCCAGAGAAAGAACTGATGGTCTCTGGATACAGATTGAAGCGTACTTTTTTAATTTTATTTTTCTTGAGGTTTTTTTTTTTGTCTATGTTTTCATTCATAACATGACTAATATGGAAATGTCTTGCACATGTATAACCTATAACGAATTGCTTGCTTTCTCAGTGGGGGAGGGGAGAGAGGAAGGGAGAGAACTTGGAACTCAAAGTTTTAAAAACGAATATTAAAAATTGTTTTTACATGTAATTGGGGAAAAATAAAATACTAAATAATTTTTTAAAAGAAATACAGTTATCACAGTGGGATTTTTTTTTTAAAGAAATCCACAGACCTCAGGTTAAGAAACACTGGTATAGTGGAGATGGATTCAAATTCCAGCCTTGATTGTATGTGAACCTAAGCAAGTCATTTCTACCTTCTCTGGGCCTCAGTTTCCTTATCTGTAAAATAGGAGGGTTCAGGGCAGCTAGGTAGTGCAGTGGATAGAGCACCAGTCCTGGAGTTAAGAGGACCTGAGTTCAAATTTGGCCTCAGACGTTTGACACTTATTAGCTGTGTGACCCTAGGCAAGTCACTTAAACCCATTGTCTAGCAAAACAAAACAAAACAACCAAAAAAAAAGGACGGTTGACCTAGAAGGCCTCCGAGGTCTTCTCCCAACTCCAGAACTGTGTGATTTATGATGAAGTCACCTACCCTCCATGGGCCTCTGTAAAAGGGAGATAATATCCTTCCTTACAGGGTTCTTGTAAGGATTAAATGAGATCATGCATATAAAATGCTTGTCCAGTGTGACATGCTATGTGAGTAGTACTTCTGTGCTATGTTTCCTCAATAGGTCTTCATAATGTTGGAATTAATTTTAATTCAATTCTGCCTTTGTGCCAGGGCTGAGCTAGGCCACTAGCCCTTGTCCACAAAGAGCTTACATTCTGCAGGAAGGATACATAAAATAAGGGCAGGGAAGGACAGAGACCCTCCTTCCAACTTACCAACCAGGCAGTCTTTTGCCCTTTGGGTGGAGCCCTGTCAAGCAAATGTAGGGGAGGACAGGAGCCCCACAAGGATGGGCGGGTATGTTTTGGCAGAACACGGCTCAGTGCCTGGCGAGTAGTCAGCAATTAATAAAGGTTTGCTGATGAATTGATTGATGGGTTGGCAATCTGCAGCCCTGGAGGGAACACACAAATCTATTTGGTGAATGCCTGAAAAAAGCATTTATTAAGCACTTGCTATGTGCTAAGCATTAGGGATGCAGATGTTTTTTAAAAAGGGAGACAGCCTCTGGCCTTTAAGGGCTGGCATTCTCCTAGGGGAAGACCACAAAGGCCCTTCAGGGTGGGATGACTCAAGCAGGGAGGTTGGGGGGTCATGCCCACAGATCAGATTCCTGTCCACTTAGAGAGTGCCTCTGGCCATCCTTTACCGATAGAACCTCCCTGCTTACACGTAGTTCCACCCCAAAGTCCAAAGCCTCCCTCCAACAACCAAGGGAGATGTCAGAAGTCTATGCTTTGTTGTCCCTTCCAGGGCATTTCGTCTCGGCCCCTGCCTCTTCTCTGTAATAGCAGCAGTGATGGTGTGGACGCTCCTGGCCAGTACAGCATGAACTTCAGCCAGGCGATCAGTCACGACGTAAGCCTCCGTGAGGCCATGTTGTCATGCCCGGACGCATCCAGACAAGACCCAACAGCCGGGCATCCGCAGACCCAGGATGCATTCTTACCACTGAATTCCAGCAATGCCCTTCCTCTTCCAGGGATGGACTGGGCAGGCTTTTCTCCATCGACGGAGAGTAGGACTAGGAACCTAACAGCCCAAGACCTTCTCTTGGACCTTGATGAAAACGTATTTGATGAGATAAATTTAATATCTTTTGCCACGGAGGAGGGCTTTGACCCGATGGAGGTTTCCCAGCTCTTTGAAGAACCAGATTCTGATTCTGGACTTTCCTTAAATTCCAGCCACAGCAGCACATCCGTGACCAATCTTAACTCATCAGCTTCCCTGTGTGATGATGAAGGTGCCGTGGGTTACAGTAGTGATGCTGAATCTCTCTCTCACCGGGGGCTAGAGGGAGCTGTCGGAGGTCACTGGCTAGAGAGCAGTGAGCTGTGCTGTATGTCGGATTCAGATCTTTCCGGAGAACCTACATTGGAACATATTCTTCACAACCACACTTACTACCTACTGCCAAGCCCACCATCCTCTGAACCTCTCCTTCCATGGGCCCAAAAGTCCCACACTGTAAAAAGGAACAGCAACCTTAATGACCAGGACACCGCCCTGGGCCAGGACAAACCCCACACCAAAACCCTGTGCCTTCCCTTCTCGGTGGATGAAATTGTCAGCATGCCTGTTGACTCCTTCAACAGCGTGTTAGCCAAGAGCTTCCTGACAGATACACAAGTGTCCCTGCTCCGGGACATTCGCAGAAGAGGCAAAAATAGAGTCGCTGCCCAGAACTGCCGCAAACGCAAACTGGATGTGATGCTGAGCCTGGAGGAGGATGTATGCAGCCTTCAAGCCCAAAGGGAGAGCCTTACACTGGAGAGGGCCCAGTATAGTAAGTCGCTGCACCTCATGAAACAGAAGCTACACAACCTTTATCGGGATGTTTTCAGTAGGTTAAGGGATGACCAGGGCAGGCCTGTCAACCCCAACCTGTACGCGCTTCATTGTGGCCAGGATGGCAGTGTTTTAATTGTGCCCAAAGAACTGACTTCCAGTCTTAAAAAAGACAATCAAAAGGAAAAGGAGAGAAAATGAGGGGAGGGATTCTATAAACTGGACCTCTCTGGAGGGAAGGTTACATTGGTGAAGGCCGCCTGGGGAAATGGGGTCACATTAACAATTGAAATGGAATTGTGAACATGCTGAATCTTGGTGACTTCTAATTCGGCACAGTTTAGGCTACTGCTGTCCAGAGGTGCTCATTCCTGAATGATCAAATTAACATTTAACTGACCCAAAAACCCAAGCAAAGTTCTTCAAGTTCAGTTCACGGGGAGGTATTGCTTATTGGGGGCAGCCATGCTTTTCAGCAAGTCTTCATTCGGTAGGTACCATACTACCCCTCCCAAAAGAGGTGATAGACCACAATTTCTCAGTCAGAAGAAGGATGTGAAAGCCCGGGACAAACTCTTGGGTAGTGGCCACGTTTTGTAGTAAGATGGTCACTTTCAAGGCAAAAAAAAAAAATCCTTTGTTAGAAAAAGATTCCATATTTTCATATGGAGTAGCCTCTTAAAATTCAAAGTGATCTTTTGTTCTTATTGAGTTCTAACTCTTTGTGAGTCAAAACTATTTGGGCTTTTCTTGGCAAAGGTAGTGGAGTGGTTTGCCATTTCCTTCTCCAGCTCATTTTGTAGACAAGGAAACTGAGGCAAACAGGGTGAAGTGACTTGTCCAGGGGCACACAACTAGGAAGTGTCTGAGGCTGGATTTGAACTCAGGTCTTGACTCCAGGCCCAGCTGCCTCAAAGTGACCTCAGTTTTTCAGATTTTTTTTTTACCATTTAGTTAGCACTGGAGCCCAGTTCAGAGTCTGGCTTTTCCAAAGCAACTTTCAGTTAAAATTTTTGTGAATACTTAATTTATGTATTTTTCTTGCTATGAAAATAAATTATGTATTTGTAGAAAACTAGCTTCCCCCTCCCTTTTTTTTTCCCCTGAATATGTCCTGGTGGCTATTCAGACTTTTAATCTAATATATCTATACTGAAATGTTAAACAAACTGGCATTGCTGACTCATTGTTACTTTTATTTACTACAACTTCTCTTAGGCCTGCTCTGGAAACAGGTATAATTTTCAGATCTCTAAGGTGCTTAATTATCAACCAATGGCTTTTTTTTTCCTGAACACCTTACCTGATTTTTCCCTGCTCTGAAAGAAAAATTATCCAGTCAGTACTCTAACAGTCTTTAGTGTAAGATTTTATTTGGAAACTCCTTTTTGAACACTGAATTTTCAATTTAAACCCAGGACTTTTCAAAACCAAAAGAATTTGCTTATATAATTTATTTAGGATGAAATAGAAAAAAATGAAAAAAAAAATCAACCCAACTAGATTACCCACCTTTAAATGATAGAAAATCCTTATTTTCAAAGTTTTACTATATAGATGCCACCTTCAAAACTTTTTACCACATGCCTGTTTCTTTAAACTGTTTTGTTTTGAATTAAGTAGTTCCTTCCATAAGGAACAGGGGGAGTTTAGAAGTATGCTGCCGAATGTTGAAAGTGTAACTGTTAAGTATGAGTGGGTCTGTTTTAGAAACACTTAAGGAGAGATGATCAGGAGGACCACCATGAGGGAGCACAAGGCTAGTGTGAAACAGTTGTGAAACCCTGCACCCAATGAGTCTTTTGGGACTGCCTCCCTTTCACCCAATGGAAAGGCCAAGATGCCAAGATGAATTGTACTTTTCTTAACAGAATAAAACATGTAGTGATTTTTATGTCGTTTTTCCCATGGACGTTCATGAAATTGTCAGACCCCAGATTGTCCAGTCCAGCACTTGCCGTAAAGCCCACCCTGGCCTTGCTGTGGAAGGCCTGCAAACAGAATCTTGCTTCACAGACTCTGCCATGACGGCCTGCGCTCAATAGGACTGTGTGCTGGGTTTGTTTAAAATAAAGTGGCTTCTCCTCACAGACATATCTATCCTTGATCCAGGGATCCTATCAAGAAATGTTCCTGAGGTTGTGTTAAGCCAGGGTTTCTTTCTTCAGAAGCGGTCTACCCCTTCATGAACTGATGAATTTTGGCTGGCTTCCTCCCACCTTCTCCTTTGAAAAAGAACTCATCAGACTTGGGGTCACTCAAGTGTGGACTAGAGATTTAGAATGTAACAAATATTAACCAGCAGGAAATTAGAAGTTCCTTGAATGAAGGCTTAGATACAAATTGACAAAATAGTAAAGGACTTTACGTACAACAGGAAAATCGCCAAGTCCAGCGAACACGAACTAAAAATCTGTAGGGTATACAGGTCATTGTGGTAGCCTGGGAGTCCGTAGTTATGGGCTCTAGCTCCTTCGGGACTCAGGGTCCTACCCAGTCTGATCCGTAGTCCAACAGTGTCCTTCATGGACTGGATCTACCCTCAGCATCTCACGCAAGTACACCTACATCAGTCCCTCTTGCCTGAGGCTGGGCTCCAATTCCACTTAGACTGGAATCCAAACGCATTCAAATTTACTCTTGAACCCTTACACTGAAGCAGCACTTGCAAATCTCCATCCTTTGGGAGTGTCCAAGCTTTCAGTAACCTGAGGCCATCAGAACCAGTCTTCCTGCCTCCTCCTTCGGCAGCATCCTAAGTCTTCCTAGGTGCCTATGTCCTCCTAATTTCATCTCAATGGCACCTTCTGCAGACCCCCCAGTTCCTGCTAGAAAAAAGCATTCAAGGAAAAATGCAATTTTCCAACTATGGCTTGGACACTGAAATTACACAGCAGCAGGTGTTTTCAGTCATGCTGGAACCCTCTTGGCAATGCTTCTAGAGTGGTTCCATTTCCTTCTCCAGCTCACTCTACAGATGGTGACTTGCTCAGGGTCAAACAACTAGCACTTACTTTAAGCTAATTATCTAAGGCCAAACGAGTCTCCCTGCCTCTAGGCCCTGCATTCTATCCCCAGAGCTTTGGCATGACAGGAGCACTTACGTGAGAGGTTCTATTAAAAGAAAAATGGGCCAGTTCTTGGTTATTTTGGCATCAATCCATTTGTAGAAAAAGTTTGATCATTTCAAAGGACAGTTTGCTTCTGTCCATAACAATTCAGGCACGTGGTATTAAATGGTAATTTAAGAATACCACTACCACTCTTTGCCTAGACACTGAACAAAGCTAAGTAAGCCAGGCAGCGCATGACTGTTCAGCATGGAACACCATTAAGAGGCTAACCTTTATCGAGTCCTCTCAACACGGGCACTCTATTTTTGGGGACTAAGGACCACCGCCAACTCTTTCAAGTTCTTAGGAAGTTACTTTTTAATAGTATAACCTTGTTGGAGGGCTCTTTGAAACCCAGGTCCACATTGATCATTTGCAAGCCTCTCTTTTCCCATCTGCAGGACAGTCCAAATATTGGAATGAAGTTGGGCAGGCAACCCTGTCAGTGCCCCATCCCAATTTACCTTCAGTTCCTGAGACATACCCATGCAATTAAAGGTGGGTGGGGCAAGCTTTTAGGGTAAGACAGCAAACCCAAGGTAAAGACTGTTACATTACATTGTAGATCGCTGCTAATGCATAGAGCAGGAAGCTGGATCCCAGCTCCTAAAAAGCCATTTACAATTAAGTTTCTTCAGAAGTAGGCATTACCACTAAGCTCTTGAGATCAGGCCAGTCCAGGCGCATTATTTAAACCCTTTAGCATGTGGCTTTTCCACATAGAGAAACCAATTGGTTCTGAAATCTGTTGTTAAGAGACTACAGTAATGGTCACCTTGTCCAATGTCTTGGCCCCACCCCTAGGGCAGCTGAATCTGAATTGCACAAACAAACAGGGTTCTCTCTCATTTAGAATAGCCAAGATGTCCTTTCTGGGCACACCTGGATAAAGCTAATATTACACAGTAATTACCGTTCTGAATATCTTTAGAAACATTTGGCAGTATTTCAATCAGCAAAAAACCCCAGAAAACTCCTTTGCCCCAGCCTAATTAGCATTTTTCCATTTTAACAACTCTTGAGATCTGCCTTCTTTAAAAAAAATTCCCCAAGACACAAAAACCCCACGTAAACAAAAGCAAATTCTGTTTTTGAGCCATCACGAATTGTAAACAAAACTCACATGCCACTTGAGCATGTTAAGACCAGTATTTCAAGTGTTTATCTTCCAGAATATAAAGTTCATTTGCTTTATTTGGGCAAAAGCAATTTTTTTTTAATCAAACATTCCATCACATGCATCAACATAACTGTAAAGAGACAGAAGTCATCTTGGGCAGTATTTTCTCCTCCTCCTCGGATATCGACTTTTTAAAAGGGTTATTTCATTAAGCCCTATTTTCAGATACCATCATCCACCTAGTCACGTGGTTCCACATACTCCAACCCTCACAAGTACTCTGTTCACGTCCGCTTTCTCCAACCCTTTGGAGGACTGCCTCCACCACCAGGACACCACCACCACCACCACCCACCCCACAAATTTTCCTTCCTGTAAAGCAAGATTCAATGTACTTGTGCCATGGACCCTGCATTCAGCCCTGGGGATGTCATTTCTAGCCATGACCACAAGCAGAGATTCAACCCAGTCAAGTGGTCATCTGTGAGAAATACCTCACACCTGTACACCTTTGTTATACCACTTAAAATCACTTTTGGGGGGGGGGGGTTTGAGAGCATCGTTGTTCAAGGAAGTGCAACATTCTGCAAGTACAATCTAATTACAACATCCAGGTATTTAAATTTGTAGTGATTCACAATGTTGTGTTTCAAGGTTTTAAAGGAGCATTTTTTCCCTGAAAAGTTAATAAAATTTGCCATCTAACATTAAGAAAGCCAGGTAAACAGAAAAACTCATGATTATAAAAATATAGTAAAAAATACAAGGGCAGTTAATTCAAGCAAAACAGAACCCACATTCTTGTCAAGTGTGCAGGTTTTAAATGAAGACTTAAGCAGTAGCAGTATTTCTTTTAGACAGCTACAAGCCTATGAAATAAAAAAAATGCACACATTGTGTGTGTAATCATCACACAAAGTACTTGGATACAAAAATGTTTATTTTAAAAACTTTTAAAAAAAGATCAGTTTTGTCTGTTCACAAAACCGTTTTTAAAAACACCATACAATTTTAATGCTGGCTAGTAAGCTGAAATTTTTGATTACAGACAATTCTCATCACCATAATTTGAACTGATCATTTTGTATCATCATCCAAATACATTTCCCTTTCAACTAAAAGTGCTTTTAAAAATGGAGGCACCAACAAGAAATATATTCAGATGGTACAGAATTTCTTATTTCTCGAAGACATTCTGTGGTTGACCACTTCTTCATTAGTTACCTGCAGCAAGACACATTCCTGCCAAAGAAAAAAGAAGTATCTGAAGAGGTTTATCAATGTGTGCTCCAAAGTAGCTATCAATCATTTCAGTGGTGGTCGTAAAGTTTTAGAAGATTGACTGGTGAGAACCTAGCAATCTCTTGATGGTCATATCCCACCCCAGGCAATAAAGCCTAGTGTCGAATTGCAGAAAGATACAACTTTCAGTTTTTACAAGTAACCAACTTAGAGGTCCTGTAGGCTTATAAATGGAAATCACCTACACAGTCTACTTTTACAGTGGTACTGGAGAAAAATGAACATCTGCCATAGGTTAATTCAATGGAATTTTGCTGCTTGGGATATGGGGAAAGACA